CACTGTGGGCACAAGGCTCTTGGCCTTCTCTTCCTCGGACCTCGTCCGATGTGGCTGTCCCACAGCCCGTCCAGCAATACAATGCCGGCACCAACTTCGATACTGCACATGGCCTGTCGCCTCGTGCTCTTCGATCTCAGCCGGAGTTGGGTCCTCCGGTGCTCTTATCTGGATGGGTTTCTCAACCTCATCAACTAATTCCAACTCATCATCCTCTTCTCGCCCCTCTGGACCAGGTCGGCCTGAATCCATAGAGGCATCTCCTCTTTCTCCTGTGGCGTTCAACTCTGCGATGCCACAGCATTCCTTTGTCGGTTTAAAACCTGGCTTTCTCAAGTAGAAGTTGTACACTCCCTGCTCCTGATATACAGGGATCCAACTCCGCTGCTCTGCAGCGTTCGCTCTCTCCAGGATCGCCTGGACAGCCTTTCCAACTTTGGACCCTTGCGGAATCAAGTTTCCGCCTTTTGCATCAAGAACTGCAATCCTTCCAAAGCCTAAGCACTTGGATGCTGAAATCAATGGCTTGTGGACATCAGCCATTGAACCTTTCACACGGCATTTGTTGCCGCTCTCGTCGAACCCTTCAAAGGTTCCAATGCCCTGACTGGGCACCAGCTCTCCTGATGCAGTCTTGAATACAACTCCGTTGCCTTCACTGACAACCACTCGATCCTCCCAGCCATTCGGGATGGCTGTCTGGGCTGCTCCAGTGTCCAGGTTAAACTTCATCCATTCTTCGGCGGATGAGGTATCCGCCATTCCAATTCCACTCAAGTCTGCCATGAGCATGCCGACATCGGCTTCCGGAGCTGGCTCAATGCCATCATCCGGTTCGTCCATCTCTTCCATACTTCCTGCGGCTTTACCTTTGCCGCCTTTTCCACCTTTGCCTTTGCTGCCTTTGCCACCTTTGCCACTCCTATCTCCTTTGCCTGAACCTGACCATTTATCGCCTTTTCCATCCGGCCGTTTCTTGCTCCAGCAATCGGCCGCTCGGTGTCCTTCCTTACCGCAATTGTAGCAGGTAATATCTTGAGCCGGGTTTGAGCCTTTACTTGAGCCCCCTTTACTTGAGCCTTTCTTTCCATCACCTTTGGCCTGTTTACCTTTTCCTTTACCTTTTCCTTTGACCAGGCTTGCGATCCACTGTCCGATCGAATCGACGTCCATGGGTTGAGGTCCTTGATAACTCGAACTTGATGAACCTGGTTTTGGAACAGATGACTTTGATGTGAGGGATGTTTCAATGACAAGTTCAATCTCCTGTTTGATCAACGAGTAGGTTGTCAATCTACTCTTGTTCAACAAAAGATGCTTTTCCAAATCTGGGGGTACCAGCATCTCCAATGAAGCGGACTTGATATCGTCCGATAGGGTTTCCCTGATCCCTGCGGCACTCCTCCGAGACTCGTACCGCCTGATGAGCTCTTCGAGCTGTTCGATCGCTGGCCTCACCGCGGCCCATGTCTTGACTCTCTCCGGTTGGAGAATCGCTCGAAGTATATTGCGTTTCCGTCCCGAGGTTCGGGGATCCCAACGGCGGTGAACTCGCCGATATGCTTCAAACCCATTTGAAGCTCCTACCATCAAATCCTCTGTTTCACCTGAGGTTAGGGTCAGGAGCACGCGATGAATTTGATCAGCTTTATCCTCTAGATCATCAATAGCTGCTATGGTTCCAGTCCCAAACGCGGACTCCATAGCACTCAATTCAATCGCGTCTTCCTGCTCCAAAATATACTCCAGGACTTCAATGAACTCTCTCCCAAAAGTAGTTATGAACAGGTTGTCAATGCTCCTGGCCCATTTTCGAAAATCCCCTTCAACATTCCCAAAACTCTCGGGCCGTCCCAACCCCTTGGTGTCCATGAGGATTTGGGACTTTCTCCTATCTTCTTTCTTCTCAAGGCTTTTAGCCAACTCTCCTACAGCTGAGGCTAGCATTGATACCCCACCTTGAGACTCCCTCAACACTTGATTCTCTTGCTCCAACCTCGCTTGGTTCTGTTGGAGTTGAAGTACCATTTCACTCAGTTGTTGGATCTGTTGTTCCATGGTTTCCTACCCTCAACCCCTGCTGCTGCTGCCGCTCACTCCTTTTCCAGCGGCAGTCGCGGGAAGTTCGCCCGGTCAAGGATCGGAAGGTTTTGGCGCTCCACGGACTTCAGCAGTAGTCCGTGTGAGTTCTTCCGGGCGACGACCCACAGTTGTGGCCTTCGCTTCAGCCGCTACTTTTGGTGCGGCGGATGGTTTGGCCTTTCCTTTTGGTCCGGCCTTTGATTTGGCCTTCACTTTCGGCCCAGGTGTCAGGCTCACTGCTGGCGCCGCTTTGGACTTGGCGCTCGATCCAAGAACGGCAGGTCCCTTAAGTCCTCGCCGTTTGATGTAGTCCTTCACCACCGGCAGCTGTGCCTGCCGCCGTTCGTCACAAGAACTACAGGCCTCGTTGGATCCTCTTTTTCCTTGTTCGTTGGGGGTCTTCCACAATTCGCGAATGGCGGCCAATGCAACGGTGCCCTTGAGGTTCCGTTGCTCGCAAAGTTCGTCGGCCGCAAACTTTCGCACTTGGAACGGGCTCTCTAATTTCCAATTTTCTATCGTCAATCGCTGGGCCCGTTCGTTGGCTAGGGCGACGATGCGGAGGTTCAACTCCAGCGCACGCCCCCAGACCGCCCGTCCCCGCGTGGTGTCGCGGGTTTGCGGTCGCTTAGCCGGCGGTGGCCCGTCCGGTGTTCGAGGCTGTCGAACCGGACTTGGATGGCTCACCGACTCTTCTTCTTCTTCGACCTCCTCCTCCTCGGCTGGATCAGCCGCTTCTGAGGTCTTCCTTTTCTTGGTCCGCTTCTCCTGATTGCGGATCCTCTGCTCTTCCCGCTCTTCTTTGATCTCTTGTGGAGTGCGCCCTTTTCCAAACTCTTTGATGCGCCTCCTCAGATCCTCTGTGATGACACCCTTCTTCTTCTGCAGCCTGACCAGGTCCTTGAGCCTCCGGTACTGAAGCGAGGTCTTGCTTCGGAGTCGAAATCCGGATTGTGGCTCTGGATGCTTCTTGACCTGTCCCCAAATGTTCTTCTTCACCCTCCAAGGTGCCTTAGGATCAACTTTGGCTGGGGTATATTTGGCGTGAATGCCACGAACCTCCCAACCTGTTTTGATACCCTCAGGGGATGTGATGAAGTCGGCGATCACTCGGCCAGATGAGGATGGCTGTGCGGCTGGATCAGCCGCTTCAGCCTCTGGCTCTACTATGGGGTCTTGTTCAGGCTTTTCTTCTTCTCCTCCTTCTTTCTCTTTTGTGGTCTCTTCTTCTTCTTCTTTTGTTTCCGCGGTTCCTTCAACCGCTGATGTTGTTTCGGCAGTTTCTACAACCGCCGGAGTGGTGTTTGCGGCTGGTTCCGCCGCTGATGTGGCTGGCAAAGGCTCCTCCTCCTTTTCTTCCTTTCCACTCGGGGCGGCCGAAGCGGCCGCTCCCGGGATTTCCTGATCCTCCTCCTCAGAGGTCTCTACCTTACTATGTCTCTCTTCCTTGATGCGCAGCGCTTGGTCCCTTTCGCTTTCACCGGGCTCACGCGCTACCATGAAAACAAAGTGTCGACGTTACGGAACGCCTTTTTCACCTTGAGCCAAAACACGTCAAGAGTCACGTGTCTGCAGTACCTATAGCGGAGTATATATGGGCTGTACATACAAACAGAGATAGAGATATATATATATAACATTGTAAAAAGCATTGTTCAATCATGTTCAATCATATTCCTCCATCCGGATGACCCCAAAAAACACATGCTGTCACCACTCTCACGTCAAAACCCCAGTCTTTCAGCCCCAGTAGCATGCCCTCATTCTGGACATCCTGAACACTGTGGACGCTCATGAGCACCTCAAAGGACTCGAACCTTGGTGTCTGAGGATGACGCCCAACGGATCCCAGGCAGCATCTCAAGCCCGGATCATCTCCCGACCAATATTCCTTCTGAGAATGATTCCAGTTCATCCGCCACGCCCATCTGCCAACATCTTCGAACAAAACCAGCGTGGCGGCAAAATTCTGGGTCGAGGCGTTGGTAACTAAATCGGGCGATGCCGCATCCACCTCGATCACGCGCAGAAAATGGTGCGTCCTTTTCTTTTCTGGTGGCTGCGCGCACCTCAAAAGTTGACGTCTGGTGAAAATGCGCGTCCTTTTCTGGTGGCAGCGCGCACCTCAAAAGTTGACGTCTGGTGAAAATGGCGCGTCCTTTTCTGGTGGCAACGCGCACCTCGATAGTTGATGTCTGGTGAAAATGGCGCGTTCTTTTCTGGTGGCTGCGCACACCTCAAAAGTTGACGTCTGGTGAAAAGGGGCAATCGCTGAAGTGCCCTATATGGCTCTTTAAAAGGCATGCCCGCACATTGAGATACGCGCCGTCTGACGCTGAATTCGCGTATCCAAGGAGGCACTTGATGTAATGGTGTTTGGCAAAATCGCGGGCCGTGATAGGTTCGCAATCCGTCTCGCTCTTCCACTTGGCCTTTGCTTTGACATCAGAGCGCATGAGGTTTGCGCTGAGGTTTGCGCTGCACATCACCTTGACCGCAAGGACCTGGTTGTCGTCCAACCAATCAGCCAGCACCAGCTCTTCCTTCGATTCGGGCACACGTATGTGTGTGTGTGTCACACTCTGTATCCAAGAGTTTAAAAAACGCAGGGGCACTGAGCACTCCTTGGGAAGCACGGATTGATCACCCGTGTGTACCTGCGAGAACTTTTGTACAGGCTGTGACTCCACTCTTCCTTTGGTTGCTTCCAAGGTTCTTTCATGCTATATCCCAAAACCTTTTGGTCAAGACTCAAGAGTTTTGTGGAACATGTCCAAGTCTATCATTGAATCATTGATGGTGTTAAAGTATGATACAATGATACAGCATAAATGATAAACATTGATAAAGTATGTAACTAGTCTTGAAATGTCAAAAGTCTTTTGCTATCAGAACATGTTTCAGGAAG